AAGGTAGTGTAAACTTGTAAACTCAAACCTCAAACCTGTATAAAAACAGACTTAAGGTTAAAATTCTCAGGGGAGATGAAGACAGACTGTGCCCAGGTTTGTGTGTTTGGGGTAGGTGGCTCTTCATTCCAGCCCACAACTTCTAATAGATCCAAGGCTTTCTCTCCTAATGGCATGTAGGCATTAGAACCAAGCACCTTGATTCCCAGTACTGTCAAAACCAAACCACAATGAGTATCAGGTTGTTGTGAGTTCCCTCTGTTGGTGTTGCTGCTGTTGTCTCAGTTGTGGGGGAGAAGGGAAGTCTTAGGGTATTTCGCTTACTTTCCTGAGAGGTCAACAGTACATTTAAATAATATGTTCATTATATTTTATCCAGGATTACCTACGTGTTTTATAGTGGGAGAGTTTTTCAGTTACATAGTCACTATTATATAGTCATATTGTCCATAATAGAAGACCTGGGAATAACATATAGAGATTTTCCATTTATAAAAATTCCAAACAAAACATTCCTTATTGAATATTTCTTAGATTGTTAACCACCTTAACATCAACTTGAAAAGATCAGAATGTACTTCTCAGATTTCCTAATGTCTCATAATAAACCAATATGGGTTTATGATATGTGAGTCTTTCTAAACATTTTTGAAGCTGCTTTTTTTTTTTTACTTTCAAATTCTACCTATCTTTGAACATTCATAGTAACTCCTATTTTGAAAACTCTTTCACTTGACCCTGCTGCCTCTTAAGTGCTTTATTAAATCAACCAGTAACCATTTTGGAGTATCTAATGTGCACCAGGCATTGTTCGGAGTGGTGGCAAAACAATCTGAGCCTATATCTTAGTAGATGGAGACAAACATAAAAACATATTAAGTGGTGATGAGTGACATGTACAAAAGCAAAGCTGGATAACAGGTGTCAGGAAGTAACAATCTGGTTGGGGCCATGAGGGGGAGCAACTACTATTTAAATAAGGTGGGCAGTAAAGTTCTTTTGGACAAGGTCACATCTGAACAGCTTTAAAGAATGGGAGAGCCATGCAGATATATGGAGGACTAGCTCTCCAGACAGAGAGAACAGCAAATATTCCTGAAGCAGGAGAACACCTGATTGCTCCAAAGCCAGTGTTCCTGCAGAGGAGTGAGTGAGGGGGACGGTGATAGGAAGTAAGGTCGGAGAGTCCATCTCCCCATATATTCCCTCCTCATCTAATCAGTGACTGTAACCTTCCCAATGTCTCTTGAATCCATCTCTCAGACTTGGTCTTGGTTTGGGCCCTTAACATTCTTGTTTAGTTCATCTGAGACTGGCTAGGACAACACTTTCCACACTGTAGGTGCTCCACAAATGTTTGATAATAGCATATTTGGATTACTTTCTCCAGAATATATTATCTTGGGGGGCCCCTCATCAAGGACCTGATAGAATTGTGTCCCTGGATTTGGTTTCCTTTAGTATTATGACCTCTGGTTTGAAACAGTGTGATAGGAAATGAAGTTATGTTCACATACAAACTTGAGAGACTAGACCACTATTTTATTATAAGTTCAATTCACACAACATTCACTGGAGATACACTTAATTTTCACACAGACTTATAAATAGAAAAATACATTGGCTCACAAAAATATGGCACTTCAATAACAAATTTAAACAAAGGATTTCCAAAGAGAATACAGGTTATTTATTTCAATAATTCAAGATGGTTTCGTGTATGTGCACTATATCGTGTATACACATTTAATCATATATTACATTTAAGGCCAATGGGATCTGTAGCTAATAATTGCTCATTTGGTTCTTGAAAAATGGAAACATACAAAATTGTCTTCTTTTTAACTACACAAATACACCATATAAAATGTTCCCTGATATGCAGATGTAAAAATATGATTTACTCCACTGACATCTTACGGCAACTTGAGAGGGCAACACTTGTGACTATGACTCTGCGCTGGAAGAGTGTGAATCTTTTCCTCACTAGAATATACAATCCAAAGGCAAAGGACACAATGACCTCTTTAGGATTCAAAAGAAGTTCTCATTTTAAGGATAGAAATACATAACATCTTAGTAACCAAAGCTAAGTTTTTTTAAGCGAGTTGTGGAAAGGCAGTGGCAAAAAAAACACAGGATAGGTACTCAACAAAAAGCCATTTGAAAATCATCATGTAATAGCAATTATTTTCCATAAAAGTTGTATTTTTTGTGATTACACTTCTGCCAAACATTTGCCACTACAAAATGCATTTATTTTTATTCTTTATTTAAATTATAATGTATTTCTTCCTAAATAGCTATTAAGCTTTTGGGAAATTTTACTCTATTGAAACCACTTTAATGAATAAGAATTTTCCCCTCTGACCTTAATAAAGTGCCATGAAGCGTATCTGAAAACCACTGTTAATTTGACATGAAGACACTTTGGCAACATAGAAGAATACATGACCTTGGCAAGACCCAGCAAGTACAGGTGCCCATGATCTCAATGAAAAAGGCAGACTATAGAACACTTTGTTTTTCTTATATTGAGCTAGTGTACAGTTGTTAACTGCTTACATACGAACATCTATCTTCCACTAAATAGCAAACAGACATTTTACAGAATAACTAATTCCTCCAGTTCCACCAATGTAAAAATAAAACAAGTTCCAAATATCAACAATGCAGGGCAGCCTGATGGTGAAGACAGAAGATGAGCAGTTCACCTGCTATTTGAAAGTAAAGCCTGAAGAACTTCAGACCAACACTATAAATATGTAGAAAAAGAAGCTAAATATTTACGTATTACAAGTAACCTCAGCATAAGCACCAGCTATGTTCAGATGTGGCCAGCGTGTAGGCCAAATATAAATGCAAAGATCACAGTGAACTAGAAAGCCATGAAAATCTAGTTCCCTGACCCTTCAATCAAACCTCCAGAGCAAGGGGAATACGGCAGCCCCACTAGGAAGGAAGCCCCACTTCAGTTGCTCCTGCGCTCACCCCCAATCCCTTTCCCACAAACAAGGGGCACAGTGAGTACATACACTTTATCCAGGGTCTATAGATAAGGCGATAATTTGTCTATATTCATTTTAAAGAGAATGCTTACATAGATTAATATTTGAGGACCCTGAACCAATGTTTATGTGTATTCTTGTTTAATACTCAAGTGGTTTAGATGGCATTTTAGAAAGTCATCTACAGTACAAGTAAGATATTTTCATTTGGGTTAAAGACTGATAGTTTTATGACTGCATCTAAGATCTCGAATGTGAGACGCTGGGCCAATCTATGTTAAGGCAGGTGATGACATCTTCAGTCATTCTTCCTAATAAATGCACTCTTCTGTGGCTACGAAATCCTGAATCCTTGAATGGTCTACCACCATTGGCTAAGGTTTTATAAGGCACGTTTGGCTATGTGCAATATTTCTTCTCTCAGGCTGAATCTTTAAAGAAATATTTAAAAGGCTGCAGCAAATTGATTTTAAAACTGGATGCTTTATTGATTGGTCTAATTGGGATGGTGAGAAGGAGTGTGTACACAATGCCGGCTAATCTCTCTCTGTGCCATGTATCACCCATAGAGAAGATTACAGACACCAGCCACTTAAATGAGTGTGTAGCTCACTTGACTTCTCAACAGCCACATGTCCCCTTGGGCTTTCCTTCAGTTAACTGCTCTGTAGAGGCGTGGCCACTGGGCCGCACCACTCCTTCAGGGATCCAGGACTTGTCCACACAGCGCTCCATTCGCTTCATTATCAGGTCCAGGAGTGTCTCAATGGCTTCGCTTATATTTGTCCCATTGGCAGCGCTAGTTTCAAAGTAGGGGATGCTGGAAGACAGAGACAACTCAGGTAACGACTTGTAAAGGGAAAGGACAGTGAGCTTTGCCCTTGATAATTCAACTTACAAAATAGAGGTCAAATATGCAAGGCAATGAAAGCATTTTACTACCATGGGGTACGTTGAAAAGTGAAAAAGAGCCCTAGCCGGTCTGGCTCCGTGGTTAGAGCATCGGACTACGGACTTAAGGGTTGGGGGTTCGATTCTAGCCAAGGTCATGTACCTCGGTTGCAGGCTCGATCCCCGGCCCTAGTTGGGGCTCATGCGGGAGGCAACCAATTGATGTGTGTCTCTCACATCGATGTTTCTCTCTCTGTGTGTCTCTCCCTTCCACTCTCTCTGAAAAGCAATGGAAAAAGTATCCTCGGATGAGGATTTTAAAAAAAAACACAAGTGAAAAAGACTGCCCTGGAAGGTGTGGCTCAGTTGGCTGGACATCTTCCCATGCACCAGAAGGTTGCCAATGAGATTCCCCATCAGGGCACATTCTGGGTGGGGGTGTGCAGGAGGCAGCCGATCAATGTTGTGCTCTCATATCGATGTTTCTCTCTCTCCCTTTCTCTCGCTCTAAAAATCAATAAAAATATTCTTATAAGTATATAATACTTATTTTATTGTATTCGTGAAAAAGACAATAAAATAATTGACACTGCATTCCTAATAGAGATGTAAAACTTCTGAAAGTTTCTGAGGATATTTTTTCCATTGATTTTAGCGAGTGGAAGGGGGGGGGGGAGAGAGAGAGAAACATCAGTCTGAGAGAGACACATCCATTGGTTGCCTCCCACACGTGCCCTGGTAGTGATCGGGCCTGCAACCCCAGTACGTGCCCTTGGCCAGGAATCGAACCCACAACCCAACCCACAGCCCTCTGGTGTGCAGGTCGACTCTCTGAGCAACACCGGCGAGGGCACTTCTAACAAATTTTATTCTCATTTTACAGATGATTAAACTGTGCCTCAGAAAGACGAAGTAACTTGCCCAATTTCACAATGCTAGAAAGGACAGAGCTAGTAGAGGAAGCCACAGCTGTTTGATTCCAGTGTAACCAACGTAGCCATATGCTCTACTGGTTCCAAACTTACATACGTTACATGGGGACTTCCAAAAAAGATACATCTCATTTACTTGCTGCACGTGTGGGAGGAAAACTGTCATTAGAGAGAAACTAGAGGTCACTGGCTATGTTTGCCAAACACTTTACTGCTTGTCACTCCAGGTGGTATTCCTGACCATCCACTTGAAGGCCTCTGAATTCTGCATCTCAGACTGAGTTCCTCAAGGATATCAATCTGAAGTATGTTTGTTTTGTTATCCAAAGACCTGTGGTGTATGTATCGTTTTTTTAAGTAACTCACAAAGCACTGTTCCAAAACTATAAGGCTGCTTTTCACATAATCTCTTGGTGGCCATCCTTTAGACATTGAATTAGTCTTTACCACAGGATTAACTGATACATTGAATTAATCTTTATAACAGGATTAATCAAATGCCAGATTCTTCCTGCTTTTCAATAAAGCCATGAAAACAGTAATAGATTTGTATCTCCTCAAACTGTTGATTTCATTTCTACCACTTAGTAAGGAATTTTACCAAAATGCTCTCATGTCAAAAGACTCCAAAAGAAAATGGTCTGAGCACCTCAGGGAGCCCTGCCATTGAATTCAGTAAAGTATTTCTTACCTTTAGAGGGACTTTAAAATCCTCCACTATTACTTTTCTTAAAGAATATCTTTGTTTTCCTGTATTCTCCTAGCATGTTAACCCTACCCATCAGTGACTGGTTACAATTTCAGTTACTCTTGTATTATTTCTTGGCTAGAAGTAGCTTCCACATGAGAGCTTTTTTTAAAATCTTCTTTGCACTTTTACAGATCTTTGCAGAACTGTTCTGCTTCTTATGTCACTAAGAAGCAGGTTAGAGTGTCCATGTGTAGAGATGAAAGGCTGTTCCTCCACTGTGATCGCCCAAGGCACCGTCTTACCTGCATACTTCCTATAGGATCTGCAACTTGACCTCTGCAGTTCTCTTCCATTTTAGTATAGCTTCTAAAAACTAGTTAAGAAACTATGATTTCATTTGAGCATTTATCTACCCATCTGTGAGTCTTGCAAGACATGGTTGCTCCACTGATTCTGCCAGGCATGTTGACAGCCCTTCTATGCTGACTCTAAAATATCTCAATCAGACAAGGGTCTGCCGGGCAAACTACATGGTCTTAGTGGTTTTTGAACCTCCTGCCTGTCTACCACTTTGGTTACTGAGTCATTTTTCCTCCCTTTTTATCAGTCGCCTTATCCACAAACTGAAGATAATGTGTTTTTTCTACACCCCCTGGCCTCATGCAACATTTGATTACCAAATATTAAGAGGATATCCTTTATGGGAACTCTATAAATAACTATTATGATGTTATTGAGCTAAGTCCCAGGAATAGTTTGTGATGCTGCCATTGTTACAGAAATTGAATTTTGGATTGAGAATTCTCAAAACGTAAATACTTACATTTTCTTCATTATGCTCTTTCTCAGTTATACCCATGAAGAATCATTTAATGTCTACAGAACATTTCTCATACTTAAGGGGAAGGCTTGATCACTCTACTACCGTTTAGAAATATACTGTTTCACGGAAAGGCAACTGAAAAACGAATCCCTTCCTCCAAGAATAATGGGCTGAAATTGAAAATAAAATTTAAAGTAGTGAAATAGTAAACTTTCTTGTAAATACTAGTCATAATAGTGTACATCTAATTTTTAAAATTTCCACAAATTCAATTACAAGTATCTTTGCAACTCTAAAGTCCTCCAACTCACTGAATACCTCAACTGAATCTCGTTAAGCTCTTTCTACTTTCCATGGTTTCTTCCCTTTCGGCTCCTGAACATTAATTACCTCACAGTCATTTTGAAGGCATAAATGAGAAAACATAGTTGAAAGTACTTTTAAAAACTAGAATATCTATGCATGGAAATTACAGATAATTTGAACAATGGTCAGGAGCCATAACCTCTAGAGCCAGGCTTCCTGGATGCAAATCTAGTACCGCTTGTTACCAACTGGGTAACACTGGCAAGCTACTCATCTCTGTGCCTCAGCTGCTTCATCTGTAAAACTAGATAAGATTACGATCTTCCTATAAGGATTAAGTGAGTTGACATGTAAAGCACTTAGACTGGAATCTGACAGAGATGTGCCTTGTGCTTACGTTTGAAAGTTGGACTGTTCAGCTTGTCTTAAGGGTCTAGTAGATGGAGTTAGTAATATTTTTATGTCCATATCTTTTTTTTTAAATCCTTACCCAAGGAAATTTTTTCCATTGCTTTTCAGAGAGAATGGAAGGGAGACAGAGGAGAGAGAGAGAGAAACATTGATGTGAGAGAGAGACATCAGTTGGTTGCCTCCCACACCCACCCCGACAGGGGCCAGGGATCCATCCTGCAACCGAGGAACTAGCCCTTGGCCGGAATCAAAGCCAGGATCCTTTAGTCCATGGGCCAACGCTCTAAGCATGAGCCAAACCAGCTGGGGCTGTCCATATCTTCTTGTTCACTTTTAGGAGGCATTTGGGGTGCTTTATCTGAACACTTTTCTGTATCTATAAAGAGGGTTAACTGTGGCTCATGGGGTTATAGTAAGGAGGAAAGGAGATAATACATGTAAAAGGCTTAGCACAAGCCTAGCATTCAGCAAGTGCTCGATAAAAGTTCATCTAATGAGGTTTTCTCTAAAAATAATGTCCTGATTTTCCTAAAATATGCTAGGCAAAAGTTTAGTCATCTTAAATTCAAGAGGATCAACTGTTCTTTTTTTAACCATAGAAAGCATAGAAAGAGCAGTATTGTTCCTTCTCTCCACATGGTGGCGCTAATGTAGCATTACCATGGAGCAGTATCTCCAACCCTTTGAAAAAAAATTCTGTGCGGCTAATGGTGATACCAATCTGTAAATAATCACTTAATGGCCATTTGGAACACATGCAGAACACCAATCTAGTGTGCTTTTAAAAAATAGATGAATCACAAATTTAAAAATAAAATAAGCAAAATGACAAACAGCTTCAAATCAATGAGGGGCGGCATCATCTGCGGTTTTTCACTAAGATATCTATATATCCAACTCATGCCATAGTTCAGGATCCACATCCAGCTGGTTGCTTTTCTATTATTTATTTCCAAAAACACTAGAAGATCCAAGGTCCCAGTTAGAATTTGTCAGGAATAAAAGCAAGTGTATTTGATGCTTCTCCCAAATGGTTCTAGATATTTGGCTCACATGAGGATCAGAAATTATGGAGAAATTTTTCACTAAAGTAGGAAGTGAGTCTCACTACTTTCCATAGTCTGTTGAGTGCTAAATGAACAAGTTATTACAGTGCAGCAGTGATTTCCAACCTTTCTCATCTCATGGCACATATAAACTAATTACTAAAATTCTGCAGCACACCAAAAAATATATAGTTTTTGCCACCGTGACAAAAAAATGGTATGATTTTGATTGATTTACACAAAAAAATAATAATAGTAGTGATTACCTACTCTTTTGCTGCAAAGAGACTTTTTAAAAAATCAGGTGCTTATACTTGTATATGAAGATATCTGGTACCAAGAATTAACCAATCAGACACACCCTTATCATGTGACGTGACCAATAAGATGCAACTCTATTATATGACCTATATATTTATGGTTCAAGGGCATTTATACTGGACAGCTATTGTTATATTGGTTGTTGTCATTTTTTATTTGACAATCTAAGGGAAAAGGGGTCAGTGCCCCTGACTAAATAGTCAGGTATTGCATGTTTTAAAAATTCTTGCAGCACATCGGTTGAAAATCGCTGGAGTAAAGGACTGGTATATGGACTGTTTCAGCCTGGGAGATTGTGCCAAATGAAATCTAGATCTTGCACTGACTTGTGTGGAGATCTGGAAATTTCTTGTGTGTTTAGTTGCAGTTTATATGTGTGGTTTTAAAACATGCCCAATGATATATCATTAATTTATTTCTTGAATAAAGGATGTCATCCAATTTGCAAAGCATCCAAACTACTAGAGATCAAGCTATTCATACCCCATTTCATCTAGTTCAGACTAGAAAGACACAGCATTCTGCTGAGCTAAGCCACTTGAAACTCCAAAAATGGTCTGTACTCATATTATTAATGTTGTAGATAAATGTTTCCAACTCATCCTTTATTCCAGAAACTCCTAAGCACCTTCCTCATCAATAGCCAACAGCCTTCATAGGAAAACAAGTTGTTTTACATTTGCTGCCCCTAAAAGTATAAACCTTAAAAGTTCTCATCACAAGAAAAAAAATTGTAGCTATATGTGGTGATAGATGTGAATTAAACTTATTTTGATAATCATTTTGCAACACATACACATATCAATTTATTATATGGTACACCTAAAACTAATACAATATTATATGTCAAATAAATATATCTCAATTTTTATTTTATTTTTTTAACCCTCACCAGAGGATACTTTTTCTATTGCTTTTCAGAGAGAGTGGAAGGAAGAGAGAGAGAGAGTGAGAAACATCGACGTGAGAGACACATCAATCGGCTGTCTCCCGTGCACGACTGTGGTCAGGGCTGGGGATTGAGCCTGCAACCAAGGTACATGGTGTGGATCAGAATCAAACCAGGGACCCTTCAGTCTGCGGCCAATGCTCTAACCACTGAGCAAACAGCTAGGGCTTAATATGTTTTTATTGATTTTAGAGAGAGGAAGGGAAAGGGGGATAGTGATAGAAACATTGATGAGAGAGAGTCACTGATCAGCTGCCTCCTGCACGCCCCCTACCAGGGATCAAGCCCGCAGCCCGGGCACGTGCCCTGACCCGGAATCAAACCTCTATCTCCGGGTTCATGGGTCCATGCTCAACTGCTGAGCCATGCCGGCCAGGCTCTTTCCTAAATCTTAAGGGAATTCTGTTTCCATTCCTTTCATTATTCTCCAACAGTTTCAATTACCTTATTTGCTAATCCCATCTCTCCTCATTTTAACTCAATCCAGAAATTTTAAATTGAGCCTCTCTCTTTAAAATACTCCTCAAACCTGTGATCTGAGCACAGATGAAAAACAATCCCTGAATCCCCAGATTCCCCATATAGTCAGAAGGCAACTGTAGGCTCAGGCAGAATGTGGAATCCTGAGAACCAAGAAAACAAGCAAAGGGCTGAAGAAGCCCAGAGCAGGAGGAAGTCAATCCTGACTCTTACCCAGTGCTTGAGAATATACTTGTTTGATGCAGCTAATTCCACTGGCTGCCCTAGTTTTTGTTCTTTCTGCTTTACTAACACACTTCTCAAAAGCATGATCTAGGTCAGTGGTCTCCGTTGCTTCATCACTCACTTCCCCCTGACCCCATTGCGACACAGCTCCCAGCTTCAACACTATGCTCTCCAAGGTATCTGACCCCTCCCGCTGCATTACAGGGCTGCCTCTCCCAGAGGAAGGGGCCCTATCAGAACTGCCTGTGGGGGTTTGTCATCTCAAGGGGTGGTTCTCAACCACTGTGCTGGAAAATCATGTGGAGAGCTTTGAAAAGATACCACTGTCCAGGCCCCCAGCCTTGGTGGCTTTGTAGCATGTCAACTTGCCTAGGTTGACCGACATTTCCCAGAGTTCCCTTTCCAGCTAGGGTGGCCCACAGGGAGATGTGGGGGAGGTCTGGGGTTTAGAAGTGAGGCAGAAGGCATTCCGTAGTTCTCTACGTTGTCGCTTATCTACTGGCTCATCTGGTTGGCATAAGCCAGCAGCCAGACCTGCACCTGCTCCATCTCCGCCTAGGGCGTCCTTCACTGCTCCACTCCCGGGCCAGGTGTGCGTGGTTAGCTCTGCCAGAAGGGCCTGGCTGCTGCAGGACACCCACGCCATCCAGGTCAGGGGCAGCAGTGACTGACACAGGGCTCGGCCCTCAGTGTGGGTCTCAGCTGCTTCTTGCTCTCTCCCACTTTAGACCCAGCTTCCCTTCCTGACTGCCTGTCCTGTGGACTTCAAGCTTCAGCATCAGATTCAAAACAACACCTTACAGAGAGACTGCCCAGCTCCCACAAGAGCGTCAAGTCAAATCCCTTTGTACATAAGTATGTTTATTCACCGGAAGCCTGCCTGATAAACCACTCCAGACCAATTATAGCAGAAGCTCAGAGGTGAGGCCCCGAACATGAGTATTTGCTAAAAACTCCCCAGGTGCTCTAACATGGTTCACCACCACCTACCCTTGAGTGAAAACCTCCCATCTCACTGCAAATCCTTACCCGAGTGAGCCAGCACAGTTGATGGGAACCAGCCCCTTCCTGGTGAGCTGGACTTGAGAAAGATTTAAATCTGGCTCTGCCCCACCCTATGTATTTTCTCTGAGTTAGTCCTTTCTCTTTTCCACAAATCCAGCCACTACCCACTTCAAAGATCACTGCAATCTCCCTGTCTCCAGTCTTTCCAACTTCTATTCCATCCTACCCACGCCCCTGGACTGATCTGGGAAAGTGCTCATAACACCGCTGTGTTTAAAGGCTCTCAGCAACTCCCTGTCCCCCAGGAAACCTATTCTACTCTCCTTACTTGGCATTCAAAGCTCTGCAGCCTCTGGCTTCTTTCCACTCTCTTCCCAATGTGAACCGTATCCTTGGGTGGTTTCTAAACCTCCATCAGCCCAAGGTCATACACAGCACAGCAGTGGTCATACAATGAAAAGGGAAAGGGCCTCCTTGGATTCTAACAACCAAGGCCACTAGCCAGGTAACACCCCATATACCACAGCACTCCACACCACACATCCCCCTCTCTCCCCCACCCCTTCCTTCTCAGCCCCATTGCTGCCTCCTGCTTATAGGAAGGGCAATTCACACACACACATTTGAGTTCTCATTGGAGCAGAGGTAGAAAAAAATAAAGTACAAATTTCTTTGTAGAAGTGCCCTGGACAGTTTAATAATAAGTGGCTGGCCCCTCCTTTCATGTCCAATTAATGCTGCCGCTATATGATTCTCTTCCCAGCGCAAGGATGAAGACAGCATGTAGTTGATTCCCCACCGCAAAAACACAGCCTGCTGGGGATCCTCGCACGCCTCTCGCAGCACAGGCATGTCCAGGCCAGCAAGGCCTGTATGCTGAGCTCTCTACAGCGGCCTGTGAACTGGCTCTGACATTTCCTTGCTGAACACAGGAGATTTCCTTATCCCGGGGGTCTCCTACTGGCATCTCGTAAAGGAGACCTTGCAAAATTAGGACATTTGCTCTCAAAGTTGTCCTTCTTCAGACACCAAGAGATTGAGAAAATGGGATGGGAGAACTGAACAAAGGCCTTCCCCCAAGGCTTTCTCTGTGGTTCCCAATATTATATAATATTAATACACAAAGTAGGTATTTGACACCTCCCAAGGCGTATACCTGAGTGTTTCGTTTTTATTTTTTTGCTTTTATCTTTTTTGTTATCTAGTCATGTGCTGATGTTTAACTTAGAAATCTTTTCTCTAGGTTTCTCCACAAAAATACTCACCCATATTTCTCGGCAAGTCCTCTGGCTTCCTCCTCTTTCACTGCTCTCTGGTCTTCCAGGTCACTCTTATTTCCACATAATACTATATCTGGGTTTTCGCAATATGCATGCATTTGTAGCTGGCCTGTTAATATAAGAAGATAAGAAAATTAAAGGAGAACAGTAATGAAAGGGTGTGATCGATGGAGAATATGTGCAAAAGTGCTCTGAAAACCATAAATGGATATACAGATATAGGAACTGATATAGCGCTTTCAAAGCATCAGTGCCCTAACCTGTCAAACTGAATGGATGAGGCAGGGATGTAAAACTACTGTCCTTAAACACATACCCCAGCTTATGTATATCAGAGAGGAATGGAAAAGCTTCCCCTCCAAAAGTGTGCATGTGTCTGTGTGCATGCACAGGCATGCACGCGTGCACACACACGCACGTGTGCGTGCACACACACAACAGGTGGCAGTCTTTCCTAGTGCTTATTGCTAATCTTAAAACTGTTTTTCACATATTTTCTCTCCACAGCCATCACAATTTTAAAAGAGTTGTCTTCCTATAAGCTAACCCATTTCTTTCTGAAATGCTTTCCACATTCTTCTATTATTTTAAGGCACAATCAAAACATTGAAAACAAGACATGGGATTAAATGAAGAGAGAAAACCCAGAATAAACAGTCAGTGGTTCAGTGCCCAGAACCAAGAAAAAGCAGGAGACTACCTACGATTCTTATTCCACAGTATTTGTTTCTTTTCACCTGAGAACCATTGCTTCATCACTCACTTCCCCCTGACCCCCTTGCAACACACCTCCCAGCTTCAACACTGTGCTCTCCAAGGTATCTGACCCCTCCCGCTGCATTACAGGGCTGCCTCTCCCGGAGGAAGGGGCCCTATCAGAACTGCCTGTGGGGTTTTGTCATCTCAGGGGGTGGTTCTCAACCACTGTGCTGGAAAATCGTGGAGAGATTTGAAAAGATACCACTGTCCAGACCCCCAGCCGTGGTGGCTTTGTAGCATGTCAACTTGCCTAGGTTGACCGACATTTCCCAGAATTCCCTTTCCAGCTAGAGTGGACCACAGGGAGATGTGGGGGAGGTCTGGGGGATAGAAGTGAGGCAGGCATAATTTTCAAAAGCAATTAAATCAAACAAAGAGCTTCATTAAACTAAATAGTTTAATCTCCCAAAGAAGGAAAACAAAGTCTTATTTCTTACTTGTTACATCCCATAATGAAATTAAAGCAGCCCAAACTTTCACAAAGTTTATGGCCTAATTTATTTTCTACATGGTTAACCAGAAAAGTGTTGACATATTAGTTCCTCATTAGGAAATCAAGTTCATTTTATCTTATCAAGAGAAAGTCAAGGTGGCATTTACTGAGCGTTAACTTTGGCCTGATACTTGGTGTAGAATTTCAGAACAATGACCTTTGCCCTCAAGGGACAGCCAGGAAAACAAGAACTATACAGGCAAGAACAAACTGAGTATTTCCCAATGACTGCCATGCCCTTTCTTTCCTCTAGGCTGTTACACATGCTGTCCCCACACCCTTGACTACCCAACCAAAACCTTCCTTCAGGGACTCCCCACCCTTCCTTTAAGACTTGCTTCTCAGCTACCTCTGCTGCGAAGCCTTTCTCGTTCCAGAGTGACTCTGTGCTCTGTTAACACCTTACATGTTCAGTATCATGGTTAAAAGCATGAACTCAGGATCCAGTGTGTCTAAGGTTGAATCCTGGCTCTGCCATTTACTAGCTGTGCCACCCTGGGAAACTCATTTCTCTTTGTTTCAGTTTCCCCATATGTAAATGCCAATAATAATGGTGCTTACTTCATAGGGTTAAAGTGAGGATTGAATTATTTAATTCAGTGATTCTTCAGGTAAGATCCATGGACCAGTGGCCTAAGAACTTGTTAGAAACACAAATCCTCAGGTCCCAACCCACATCCACTAAATCAAGAACTCTCAGGACAGGCCCCAGAATCTGTGTGCCTGTGTAGCAGGGGGGGAGAGGGGGGGAGTGTTGTTTTTATTTATTTGAGAGAGAGAGAGAGGAAGGGAGAGAGAGAGTAAGATAGAGAGAGAGAAACATCAATTTGTTGTTCCACTCATTTATCCATTCATTAGTTGATTCTTGTATATGCCCTGACCAGGGATCTAACTCAAAACCTTGGTGTATCAGGGTGACGCTCTAACCAACTGAGCTACCAGCCAGGGCCAGAATCTGTGTTTTAACAAGCCCTCTGGGTAATCCAGATCCACGCTCACATTTGACAACCACTAAGTTAATATGTTAAAGCATTTAGAAGTGCTGTGTAAGTCAGATGAATTTCAGAGGGAAGGTGGGGGTGGGGAGTGGGTGGGGAGAGAGATTAATCAAAGAACTTAGATGCATATATACATGACCTATAGACACAGACAATAATGTNAAAAAAGAAGTGCTATGTAAATATTACTAGTAATGATGTTTATTTGGGGGAGTCTGGGAAGTATGATTATTGGTCATTTTTCTTTTTATTTATTTTTTCCTAATTCTTCTATAAAGACTGTGAATTATTTATATAAAAAGTAAATCAATACTTTTAAAAATCTCACTAAGGAAAAAGGCACATTCATGAATAACTGCAACTCAAGATGGTCTGGGGTAAGGACCCCAAAAGTAGTACAAAATGTAATAGGAGTTAAGAGGAAGGAAAAATTTTAATACAACTAAACTTGTCCCAGAAAATTTCATGGAGGCCATATTTTGCCAGATATTAAAGAATAAGTAGGCTTCTAATCAGTTAAAATAAATGGAAGTATGGGGGAGGACTTTTTAGACAGGGGAAATAATAGGAATAAAAATATACAGGCCAAAACATGTAAAATGCAAAGCTGTTGGGCTCTTGTAGCATTTATATGAGGCAACAGAAGAGTTTAGAAATTTAGGCAATATAAAGTTTCCTTACAAAATATGCTGCCACTGGATGAGGAATGACTACAGACATGATTTGCTTACTCTCTGAGCTCCAGGAAGCCTCATGAGTGAAGATGACGCTACCCAACTCCCTTCAGATTTCAGCTCTCTGTTCAGTCTCCTAAACTCAGTGGGGCTAACCTTTTATCCCCTTCCCAAACGGGCATGGAGAGATGTGGAGTCAAGAGAGAAGGGACTGCAGTGCACCTCTGGAGATGCAGAAGGAGGGTGCACACCTGCTCTTCTCTCCCTGGCCATCAGGAGTCAGCTCCTTGTTTAATGCAACACTGCCTCTGTTCTGGTTTGCACCATGTATGTGTGGGTGGGTGGGTGGATGGGTGGGTGGATGGATGGATGGATGGATGGATGGATGGATGGACAGATATATACACATGCATACACATACATATATATGTATACATGTATATATTTTAAACTATTTAGTAAAATAAGTAAATATTTTTATATAAATTATATTAGTTACATAAGTTTATGTAAGTTAAATAAAAAAGAAGAAATGAATGATCCCTGTAATACTCAAAATGCTAACAGGCAGAGGAAAAATAAAATGTATAGATAATAAATTTTTACTCCTAATTAAGATTTGATATTAGCAACTAAAACACTGTACATTATACTTTTTAAAAAAAACACACACACACAAAGAAAGGAGACATCTGTAATATCTTGAACAATAAAAAAACAAAAAACAAAAAACAGGACTAGAGAAGAGGTGAATACTTTCCACTGAAGATATGAAATCTATTGAAGATATGAAATCTTCCATATGTATGTTTTATTTACCTACCTACACAGTAAAGATTCTTTTATTTTGTAAGGGGGGAAAAATACATGCATAGCATAATTTTGTTCATTATCTAAAACATATAAAGTACAGGAGGGCAAGATTTATCTAATGTTTCAGTTTCCCAGTCTACCTGTGGAAAAGGGGGTGGGTTGATTATTTTTCAGTGTCAAGATTCTATGGGCACATATCTAACAAGAGTCCTTATAAAGTGCTTGACTTAAGAAAGTACCAGAAATTGTTCCAATGATGCAAAGGAGAGAATGATGGGCCAAGAGCTGGGGATAAGGGACTAGAAATAATCACCGTCATTCGGCTGTAAGGGAAGTAATGAAGTGTGCAACTCAATCAGGCATTTAACAAGTGAAGCCCTGTAAGCATAACTAAATTTCAGGAACATATATTTAATGTATTAAATAGCTCTTTAATTCTTTGTGAATCAGCTTAGTTAAGGAAGAGTATAAAAGGCCACTGAATTGAAAGCCAAAAGTTCCATGTCCTTGAATAAATCTCTTACTCTTTAAGGCTCAGTATCCACCTGCTTAAATTTCCTCACAGGGTGAGAATCAGATACAAACTATGTAAAAATGCTTTGTAAACCACAATGCACTACATAAATTACTTACTTAAAAACTCATTTTAAAAAATAAAGTTTTCTTTTCCTTGTGCACCCAGGCCCAAAAGAGGCAGCTAGCAACCATAGATTGCATTGTAGCTCCTAACATGTAGCCCAGGGCTGGTCGCTGGCAGTGTTTGATATTGACCTGCACCAGAGTCCCTCCCAAGAGGCCCCAGAACCAACCTAACCAGTGCATCACTTCAGACCACATCAGAGCACGACCTGAGTACTTCCTAAGCAGCATACCAAATGGAGGTCCCTTCAGGCACCAGACCCTGCTGGGGCAAATTCTGCTTTGTGGGATCAACCCCCACACAACAGCTCATACACTGTGGTCAAAGTCAATTCTTACAGTCAGTGAGCCTGAGAGTCAGTTCCACTTATGAATGGGCCAAGAGCAATCAAGACTCAACTACAACAGGAGGGCTCGCATAACCCACACAATGGACACTTCTGGATCACCCAACTCAGGTGATCAGGGAAACTGTGCCACTGAGTCCCACAGGACACCTACTACATAAGGCCACCCTATCATCAAGACAGACAGACATAGCAGATCTACCTAATAAACAGAAACATGTACAAAGATGCTGTCAAAATAAGGAAACAAAGAGACATGCCCCAAATAAAAGAACAGGAGAAATACCCCCAAAAAACAACTAAATAAAATAGAACCATGCAATCTACCAAATACAGAGTTCAAAACAATGGTTTTAAGGATGCTCAAGAAACTTAGGTAAAGAATAGATGAACTCTGAGACTTCAACAAAATGATAGTAAGCATTTAAAAATTACATTAAAAAAACATAAAAAAGAACCAGTCAGAAATGAAAACTACAATATGTGAAATGAAGAATATACTAGAAGGGATCAACAGCATATTAGATGAAGCAGACAATCAAATCGGTGATTTCGAAGACAAGGTAGCAGAAGCACCCAATCAGAGCAGCAAAGAGAAAAAAAAATGTTTAATGAAGATAGTTTAAGGGATCTCTGGGACAACATAAAGTGTAACAACATCCACATCATAGGAGTTCCAAAAGGAAAAGAGAGACAAGGGATTAAGAACCTATTTGAGGAAATAATGACTGAAAACTTCCCGACACAAGTCCAGGAAGCACAGAGAGTTTCAAAACAAGACAAATCCAAAGCGGCGCACACCAAGACACATCATAATTAAAATGGCAAAGGTTAAAGACAAAGAGAACATCTTAAAAGCAACAAAAGAAAAACAGTTACATACAAGGAAACTCCCATAAGACTGTTAGCTGATTTCTCAACAGAAACATTTCAGGTCAGAAGGGATTGGCTCAAATAATTCAAAGAGATAAAAAGCAAGCCCCTACAACTAAGACCACTCTACCCAGATAGGCTATCATTTAAAATTGAAGGAGAAATAAAGAACTTCCCAGACAAGAAAAAGCTAAGAGTTCATTACTGCCAAACCATTATTACAAGAAATGTTGAAAGCACTTCTTTAAGAAGAAGAAAGAAAAGAGGAATATAGTCATAAAGAATAAAATCGCAATAAATATGTAACTATTAATGAACACTTTAAATGTAAATAGATTAAATGCTGCAATCAAAAGACATAGGGTAGCTAAACATATAATAAAACATGACCCATATATATGCTGTTTATAAGTGACTCACCTCAGAATGAAAGACACACACATACTGAAAATAAAGGAATGAAAAATGGTATTTCATGCAAATGGAAACCAAGAAAAAAAAGGTGGGTAGCAATGCTTATATTAGGCAAATTAGACTTTAAAACAAAGGCTATAATAAGAGACAAAGAAGGACATTACATAATGATAAAGAGATCAATCCAACAAGAAGATAGAGCCCTTATAAACATTTATGCACCCAACATAGGAGCACCTAAATATATAAAGCAAATCTTGATGGACATAAAGGGAGACAGTGACAGTAAAGCAGTCACAGTAGGGGGTTTTCACACCCATTGCATCAATAGATAGATCTTCCTGAAAGAAAACCAACAAGAAAATATTGGCCTTAAATGATACACTAGATCAGATGGATTTAATTGATATCTTCAGAGCATTTCATCTCAAAGCAGCAGAATATACATTCTTTTCAAGTGCCCATGGAACATTTTCTAGGATAAATCACATGTTAGGACACAAAACAAGTCTCAATAAACTTAAGAAGATTGAAATAATATCAAGCACCTTCTCTGACCACAATAGTATGAAACTAGAAATCAGTTACATGAAGGCTAAATAATATATTACTAAGCAATGAAGGAATCAACATTAAGATCAAGGAAAAAAAATCAAAATACACCTTGAGACAAGTAAAAATGCAAACACAATAACCCAAAATCTATTGGCCCCAGTGAAAGCATTCCTAAGAGGGAAATTCATGGCGATACAAGGCTATCTCAAGAAACAAGAAAAATCCCCTGGCCAGGTGACTTTGTTGGTTGGAGCATCACCCTGTGCATCAAAAGGCTGTGGGTTCAATTCCCGGTCAAGGCACATACCTCAGTTGCAGGTTTGATCCCCGGTAGGGAGTGAGTGAGTGAGTGAGCGTGTGTGCGCGTGTGTGCATGTGTGTGTGCGTGTGAAAAAGAAGAATGAAATCTTACCATTTGCAACAGCATGGATGACCTAAAGGGTATTATGCTAAGTAAAATAAGTCAGAGAAAGACAAATACCATATGATTTCACTTACATGTGGAATCTAAAGAGCAAAATAAATAAACAAAATAGAAACAGACCCATAGAAACAGAGAACAGACTGCTGGTTAACAGAGGGGAGGAGCTGGGGAGGCTGGGTGAAAAAGGTGAATGGATTAGAAAGTACCAATTGGTAGTTAGAAAATAGTCATGGGGATGTAAAGTACAGCATAGGGAATATAGTTAATAATAGAATAATAAATTAAAAATAAAAATAAGGTTTTCTACTATTAAAACCATAGCTAATAATAACAAACTACCAAGTAATTTTTAAGTGTTTTCATTTTAAAGATGTGGATGTTAAGAATTTAACATCACAGCCTTTGCCAATAGATTCTTTAGGTTTATACTAATACAACCAATGGAGGAAAATGTACATTTTCAAGGTGTTATTTGGTCAAGCAGCAGGATTTTAAATGGCTACTACCGATCATTTAAGAGATTAGGATCTCGCAAAAAGCCAAAATGAAAATTTATACACACACACACACACACACACACACACACACACTGTTCTGGGAACCACTTTTGCCAATGCAGTTCTAGAATCCTCCTGGCAAACGCCTGGCCCTAAAAGCAGAGAAGGGGCTTCTAAGCACAGAGACATGCAGCCAGGGGTCTAATCCATTACGCCTTCAAAAGGTACGTATGCAATCTATGTAATCTGTGTAGTGTTTTAAGTCCTGGGATGGTACAAGACTTGACAGCATACAGAAGGCAAGCAGATAGTGGTTTAACCTCTTTAGGTCTGTATAAAGTGTGGATGAGTCTCCTCTATGGAAGACTGATTAAGAGATTATACGGAAAGCACTGCCTTATACCTGTGGCACACGAAATACTCAACGAATCAAAATTAGTATTACTAGGAAAAGCAGAGTATCTTAGTTATCTTTGCCCCTAAGGTAATAGCCTTGCTCCTTTAAATAGCATTTTTAAAAATATGTTATTATTGATTTTAGAGAAAGAGGAAGTGAGAGGGAGAGAGAGAGGGAAACATCCATCAGCTGCCTCCTGCAAGCCTCCTATTGGGAGTCGAGCCCACAACCGAAGCACATGCCCCAACTGGGAATCAAACCCGTCACCTCTTGGTGCACGAGACTACGCTTAATCAACTGAGCCACACCGGCCAGGGCTAAAGAGTATTCCAAACAGCACTAGGATTTCTCCCAAATCATTTCACAACAAAAATAAAATATGAGAGGTCATTTTATTGTGGGCAGCAGGAGACAGGGAGACAGTAACACTTACTTATCCAGTTCCTGACATTAAGGAAACTTTGTTCATTTGTCAGATCAAAAAGCAGAAGAAACCCCATAGCATCTCTGAAGAATGCTGTTGTCAGGCTCCGAAACCTAGGAACATAAAAGCAGATTGGTCACCTAAACCACGGCCCCACTCCTGAAATATAGAGCTGCCAGCAGTGCCCTCAGCCTCTCACAGGAGTTCATCAATAATAAATTAGATGTTTAATAACCTGCCATTGTTTCTAATAACATCACATTATACATGCCTATTATAGCTCTTAGTTACACAAAATTTAGTGAAGTATGTGATTTTGACACTTTAACAGTATAAAATTATGAGTATAATCAATGATATTAGGTATCCTACAAAATATAATCAATAGCTATCTAGAGCAAGAAAGAATATTTGAAATATATCTAGACTTTAAAAATATGCCAAATTATATATGAAATTTTCTTTTAAAATAAAAACAACCTGTATAAATTTTTAAAAATTTAAAATAAATTAGATAATATTCCAAAAGTGTATAAGACAGTCATTTATCACTTATATAAGTTTGTGTTAACAGACCATGTGATTGGAAAACCCAGCCTGCTGGACAAGTATGACAAGAACTAGTTCATGATCCTTTAGTCTCACCCAAGAATTTATTGTCCAACTAAGAGTTCATTAGACCCAAACAACGATGCTCGCTGTGTATGTTTTCCTTGAGCTGTGAAGCTTGGCTTAATCTGACATTACAAAGTGTTTCAAGACCTTTTGATTTCAATCTCTCATCTCTGATGAACCATTTCTTTGGCTTTAAGGTGGGAGTAGTAGTGGCTCAGTCCCTATTTTCTTGGTGCTCTCTCTTCCAAGGCTTTATCCTGCTGTCTCCCCTCTGCCTCTGACAGTCAGTTTCCTCTCACTTTGCCCTATGCAAAGCCTCCAACAGACAGGCTCCAGGGAAGAAAATACTAGTATGAATTTGTCATCTAATCTTCTACGTTTTCTTAAACATTTCTAATAAATGTTTTTACAAAAATAGTCCTTATCTTTTAGAGATGCATATGAAATAATCTGATATTTGTAATTTGCTTGAAAATGATTTGGGAGAAGGAGTGAATAGGAACGAGATGTAAACATAAAATAAGATAGGCCACATGACCGTTGAAACTGGGAAATTAATACATGAGTTCATGATATTATCCTCTCTATATACCTGAAGTTGTCCATAACAAAAATTTAATAAACAAACAAAATCATTCCAGGAACCTGTGAAGAAAAACAGAAACCTTAGCTAACTAAAAGCAACTTTATATCAAGATTTCATGTGACTTACTTTACTCAAGCATCTTCTGATCATATGAGTTAACTCCAATCAGATTTTCTACTAGGTTTCAACAATCAGGTAAGAATAATACATACAGAGGTTGGTAAAAATAGGTTTACAGTTGTGAGTATGTAAAACAATTTATTCTTGTATTATTATTTATTAATTATTGTATTATTTTCCCATACAAACTGTAAACCTACTTTTACCCCACCCTGTATAACTCTAGCTTTTTTGTGGCTAAGTAGGTAGCAAAAGTCAATGGAGAAAGTGTACAAGCCTTTTTTAAAAAATGAAGAAAAGTAAAAAAATCCTTAAGTAAATTGGTCCATTTGAAAAGGATTTGTTTCTCCTTTGATCTTGTATGAAAGAAAGCCACCATTATCAACTCAGACTGATAAATCTCCTGCTAATTTGGCAGCATGTCTTCTCAAGGTGCAAATCAACTAATCAGCTGGCTTTTCCCTGCTCAAGTCACTGTATGAAAAGTGTAGCTGTTCTTTCCTTTCCTTCAGTAAGGAGCACAAAACTGAAGATCTCATACCTCTCCTGCCCTGCTGTGTCCCATAACTGCAGGTGGATTCTCTGGCCTCTGCCAACGGCTCCATCTGGCCCATTGGCTCTGTACACCTAAAACAGCAAAATAAAAGAGAACTTATGAAACCAGTGAACCCTTCTTACTTTCCTATTCAGTATAACTCTAGCATAAACTTCTAAAAAAAATCCCATTTGGAATATAACCTTGTTTGTATTTTATTACAAATAATTGTTTTTGGATAATACAATAATTTGCATTAACATATATACACATATTATATATTTTTATAAATATATTATGAAATATATAAATAACACATAATTCCTATAAAATAATAATAATCAGCTCACCTTTCTTCAAAGAATTCTCAGGTCACTCATTTCAAAAAATATTACCTTTCTATGGCTTTTCCCATCCCATCTTTAAAAAATACTCTTAAAACAAATTTATAGGAAGTATCTCTAAAAATCTCTTTCTCCATAAAAGCAATGAAAACACTGGCACAGATTGTCAAAATCAACTTTTTCAGAACTCTGAATATCAGCAAAAACAATAAGCTTTGTACTGTTTTAATCCTGTTCTCATCTCCCTCTCCCTGTCTCCACAGTAGTCCTGAAAACCAACAGATACATAACTATGATAGCTGTCAATACCATCAGTATAGCAGCCACTGAAGGCAGTGGAGGTAAAACAGGTTTGGAACTGTCCTCAAAGTCTCATCCCCAGAGAACTGAAAGCTGCCTGTAAAGCTCCATTCCCAGGCCTTGTCTTTATTTTACCTGACTCAGAGCTTGCTCTATGAGAATAACCCTATCCTTAGAGCATTGTTGAAAATAATCAGCAGCAAGTATTTAACATCACAGCTACCAAAAGCAAAACTACCACTTGGAGCTAACAAAAATCTAACCAAAAAGACTTTTAAAAAGTAAAAACAGGAAATAGGATGTCCATAGGGAGATTTGAAAAGCTCCAAAATATTCATTGGAATCTATTAGGCCATGCTCATGTGTAGGGCTCTATATGTGCCCAGAAAAGACCTGAAAAAGCCCTAATCTCTCACCTCTGACTGAACTTGAGGCTCTTCTCAAGCATGAAGTGAAGACTAAGGCAGACTTATAAACTACCTACAGGAGCATTATGCATATGTCACAACAGACACATACACACAAATACACATATACAATCGCTCAGAAAAGATGGCTTTCTGATTTAAGGAATTTGAGAAACGCTCTGTCCATTCATTAGCTGACCACTAGGTTAACTAAGCAAAGACTTCAGGAGCTGCATAAAGAATACACTGTACAGAATTAGCCCAGGAATGTCACCAAACAAACAAACAACAGCATAAATAAATAAATAATCAAACATTTAAAAAAAAAAAAAAACCCTCAGGAGGGAGGAATCTGATTTCCAGAGTTGCCATGTTATATTATTTTAAATGTCCAGTTTTCAACAAAAGTTATGAGACATACAAAGAAACAAGAAAGTATGGCCCATATACTGAGACAAAAGCAACCTATAGAAACCATTCCTGAGGAAGCCCAGATATTGAGTTTACTAGACAAAGACTTTAAATCAGCAATTATGAATATGTTCAAAGAACTAAAGGAAATCATGTCTGAAAAATTAAAGTATGAGAATAATGCCCTACTCAATACAGGAAGTCAATAAAGAGATGATAGGTGATAGATGATAGATAGATACATGATAGATAGATGATAGATGATAGATAGATGATGATAGATAGATAGATAGATAGATAGATAGATAGATAGATAGATAGAT